ATTATTTAGGTCTGCACGCTCCATCGTCGATCTCCTTGTCACTTTTCATCAGGTAAGATTGAGGTCAAATGCGCACTTCTTTCGTTATAAAAAATGACCAAAAAAACCCCCAAAGGATCGTCATGCCTTGATCATGTTTTTACTACACTCCTGTCCATAACAGTTGCAGTGCTGCTCAGAGGGAAGATCTGAGGGGCACTGCCACTGCGCCGGTCACCCTGAGACATAAGTTGACTAGTCCGATATGCCTGTAATTTCACCAGCACTCTTACCCTTCAAAACTGGAACACAGTAATGCTGACATTACTGCTTGACGGTAGAAATAAATAAGGTAGCAATACTTCCCTGGACGAACTCTTTCACAAGGAGCTGCACTGCTGCGACTTTCCTGAAGAAGGAGTATTTTAATAACCGCTAAATAAATATTCCATTGTAAATACTCCGTGCATTTAATAAAAATGAACTATTAACAAGTTCCATCACTCATTCAGAGAACAAACCAGGATGTGGTTTTTTTGCATTAATAAATGTGCATTTATTGCGATCGTGACCCGTCGCCGGCTGCCTTAACTATTTAACATCGAAAACTAACATTACATCGATGATTAATTAAGTAATTATAACTACGTACTACCACCTTGAACTTAACATATATTTTAAACTTTTGTTTGCTCCATGTGGTTTCGAAAATTATTGTTGCTCATAGGAAATGAAACTATTTTTCCGGATTTAAATCGCGTATATTTGTTTTTTCAAACAAACCAACGTTTTGGACCCTTTTGCCGGTTTAGCTGGTTGAGTCAACCGTGACCATGGTACCTGTAAAGGACCCGAAACGTTGGTTTGTTTGAAAAAAGAAATATACGCGATTTAAATCCGGAAAAATAATTTCATTTCCTATGTGTAACAATCGCGAAAACCTAACAACTCGATATTATTGTTGGTGTTAAGTTATATATATCGCACACACAATAACGCACACACTCAACATAGCCCCGCACTGGGGAAACCCTGTGTCGCGGGTACCATGGACATACATAGACAACCACAAACTTCACCCAAACTCACGAGAGAAATATATGTAGGCCATACAAATATTTCTCCCGGCCCAGAATAATCGCTTAAAATACAGACACAAAAAAATACAATCGAATTGAGAACCTCCCCTTTTTATAAAGTCAAGTAATAAGTGTTATTACTATTTCTATTGTTTACTAAGACAATAACACTGTACATTAATGGCATGTAATCTGATTATAAAGTTAATTTTCAGGCGTAGTATGGTGGGCGACCCAAAAACAAGTTTGATGTTGTCGGTTTAAATTACGATTAATTGGTCATTTTTATATAAAAACAGATCAGAGACGTCAGAAGTCCAAGGTCTCATAAGAAAAAATTTAAACTACAGTCTACATCATTAGATTACTACTAATTAGAGTGCCCACTGAGATTCCAAACTAAAGTTTAATCGTTAATGCAAAAAAATAGTTTTGTGGTTTATTCTTATTAAGAATACGTAGGTAGTAGCAGTAGACCTCCTTGTGAAAGAGTTCGTTACCTATTTCTGCCGCCAAGCAGTAATGTCAACATTACTGTGTTCCGGTTTTGAAGGGTGCTGGTGAAATTACAGGCGCATGGGACTTGTCAACTCAGATGTTTGCGATTTACGTCACTTGATATTACAAAACAAAAATAAAAAGGTGCAGGAACTTTTTACATTTTCTGAGAATGTATTTATATACCTAATAAATAAATGAGAATTGAATTTGTTACATAAAAACTGTTACCTTTAAAAGTAATTTTAAAAACCACGAACTCAATGGATATAAGAGTCAAACTCAATACACTAACGTCAAACATTAAACCAGTAGACATATAAGTAAAGTTAGGTATTATATTCTCAGAGCACTTAGACCGCTTACGTTTCTTAATAAATATATAAAAGGATGTTCAAACGATAATATCAGTTAGTGAATCGACAGACATGAAGCTAGCAATCCTGTCGAGTGTGCTTGGCTTCGCTCTCGCCACGTCAGGTAAGCTCAAGTGTTTATGAAAAAATAGTGTAATAATAACATTTGTTAATTGCAAAGTAGATGTACTACTATGACGCATCAGTTGTTTATAGACGCGATGATTATTCTCAATTAATGAGATGTATACCGTGTTGATTAATTATTTTCATATAAGGAAGATTATGGAAGTTTTTAAACATATAGTTTGTTAACTAAGAATAATACTGACTATTGCACTGTTATAATCATAATTTTTCATTGCAGAGAGAGTGCGACGCCACGATGACGGGGGCTTTGGAGGTGGAGGCGGCGGATTTGGATACGGAGGTGGTGGTGGCGGTGGTTTTGGATTTGGCGGAGGGGGCGGGGGTGGATTTGAAGCCGTTCACGAAGGCGTCAAAGGTATTTTGGATAAAGTTCACGACGGATTCAACCACCTCGCCAGCGGAGGATTCACCGCCAGTGGAGGAGTAGGTGGCAGTAATTACGGCGGCGGTTATAATGGTGGATCCGGTGGATTTGGAGGAACTAATGAAAAAACTGTGTACACTAAATCCGAAGATGGAAAATCTGGCGGTTTCGCGTTCACGGGCACATTTGATGGCAATAAAGGTGGATATGGAGGCGGAGGAGGCTACAGCGGAGGAGGAGGTTATGCAGGAGGAGGTGGCTACGGAGGAGGAGGCGGTTACGGAGGAGGATCTGGATTTAGTGGTGGGAGTGGAGTGGGAACCAGTGTGGGGAAGGGTAGTGGTGCACCCATAATTTTATCCATAGGCGGAAGTGGGAAATCTGATAGTGGAGGTGGAGGTGGATATTCTGGAGGTGGAAGCGGTGCTTATGGGGCTGGAGGTGGTTTTGGATTAAACGGTGGGACTTCAGGCACCCACACCCTTGGAAAAGTAAAAGAAGTATATGTTATACAGGGCGGTGGCGAATCCGGTGGCCTTACTGGAATTCATGGAAGTCATAGTGGAGGCGGAGGTGGTGGCTACGGGGGTGGCTTTGGCGGTGGAACCGTAGGTGGTAGTAGCCACGCTACTAAAGTTCTCACCGGCTCTTTAACCTTTGGTGTCGCTGGTGAAGGATCTGGAATAGGAAGTAGCGGAGGGAATGAAAAATATTACGGAGGAGGCGGCCATGGAGGCGGACAGGGTGGTGCATTCGGAGGTGCCATCGGCGGTGGTTCTAGCGGTGGATTAGGAAGTTCTGGGGGCCACGGTGGTAGCGGGGCGAAAATCCATAGCCACTCCGGCGGCGGAGGTGGAGGCATATTTGGCGGCGGATTTGGAGGAGGATTCGGTGGTGGCTCTGGAGGGGGATTATTAAGCTCAGGAGGCTTCGGTGGTAGTGGAGGGAAAGCTCATGGTAGCTCTGGAGGAGGTGGACTAGAAATTAGTTTTGGAGGTGGAGGCAAGGGAAGCGCTGGTGGTAGCAATTGTGGATCAGGATCTTGTGAACAAATCAACGCAAGTCATGGAAGTAGTGGCAACAGCAATTCTGGGGGATATGGAGGTGGTGGCGCTGGCGGTTACGGGGGTGGTGGAGGTGGTGGCTTTGGGGGTGGAGGCTCCGGCGGTTTGGCATTTGATAGCAACCATGGCGGTGGTTGTACCGGCTCTTGTGGAGGATCGGGGGGTTCAGGAGCATATGCCTCCGCTAGTGCCAAAGCATCAGCATCCGCCAGCTCTGGCAGCTACGGTAAATAGCGATCGTAAAGGGATGTAAATTTGAAACAAATGTCCCAATCAGCATGGTTTTATTTGTAGTTTTATCAAAGTAAAATGTACCTGTAAATAAATAATAATATATAAGACTATGCACTGTAATATATGAAGCTATATAAATCCCGCTGCTCTTGCTATGAGTTATCTTTAAAGAGAGGGTTGTGTATACAGTCAACAACACATCGAGCTATATACTTTTGTTCGAATATCGCCTCCAGTACAACGGAACAAGATCCGTCAATGTATAATACCTTGATGTGCTGATGTCAGTACTTCATCGTGATCGAATTTAAATGTGATATCATATTTTGTAAATATGGTTAAATTATAGTTATTAACATTATGTAGAAAAGCATATTTGTTTAAACATAAACATTCAAATTTGATTAATTCATACAATACACCGGATATTTAGTGGAATACTATTATAATTTTTTTTTTTAATGAAATTGATAACACTAGCCGGTGGCTTTTTTTATGCCTGGTTTTATTTGAAAACACAAAATTAGTCCTCTGTTTGTATGTCTTGTAGTTTTTTTTTTATTAATTTATTTTCATTTCCTACTAATAGAGCTTTGTTAGTGGATCGAGGGTGATTACACGTTCTTGTATATTTCGTAAACTATTAGTGGATTTTTTTATTAGTTATAAATTTTTGATTTAACCAATGTTAAACTGTCCTATCAGATCGAATGAATTTTTTGCGTTCGATCTTTGTATTAATAATTATAGCAAACTAGTGGAGTAATTTCACAAAAAAAAATTAATATCTTGGTAGTAAAAAATCATGTTATTCAATCAAACGAATATTACAATGTTAAACTGTTAAAATTTTTTAAATAAAAAAAGTTTAAAATAAATGCATTTTATCTAATTTCGATCTTTTCAATAAGGTTTCAGTAAGTGTTAAAAGATTTAATTTAATTGCCATTTTATGTGTAATTCTTATTTATTTATGTATAAACGTTACTATTTTGTATTCTAAATTTTTGTTATGCTAAATGTGCCTGTGGATGTATAAATATAAAAAGGTGAGCTAGTGCGTAAGTTCCGAGTTTTTGTTACGTAATAAAAACAGCAAAATTTTATATTTACTTCTACAAGGCCATGGGCACGTCGAGCAGACTTGAGAATTAGATTCAACTCTATACCTCTTACGATAAGTACAGTCCAAAGTGTTAAATTTGATACGCTCTTCACTGTACATATAAGCGCTTTTTTTCCTCTCCTCTATTTTATTTAACACACGGAATAGACTTGATGTTTTTCAACCAATCTCACCAATATTTCTTATTAATATTTGTTTTTTTTAACCGCCATGTTATCTTTAGGTTCTAGAATAAATTTTCTATATATAGGGCGACTTTTACTAGTATTCACTTTTAGATACGATTATATCGAATGACTATATTATTATCATTATTATATTAGACTTTTTATTATTATTTTTTGCAGTAGAGCTCCTTGTGAAAGAGTTCGTCCGGGGTAGTACTGCCTTACCTATTTCAGCCGCCAAGCAGTAATGTTAGCATTATTGCGTTCCGGTTTTGAAGGGTAAGGGTGCTGGTGACATTATAGGCACATGGGACTTGTCAACTTATGTCTCTGGGGGATTGCAGTGCCTCTCAGATCTTTGCGATTTAAAGCTCTGAGTGGCACTGCAACTGTTATAGACAGGCGTGTAGCTTATTAACAGGCATACGACTTGTTCTCCTGTCACTTGATATAATAAAAAAAGACTACATCACATACGTTGCTTTGATCCTAAAATAAGTCACTAAAGCACTTGTGATAAGGAAATTGGAACCAACGCCGGTACCACAAACAATCAGACCCGAGACAATATAGAAAATTTAGTTTTCCTACATTTCTACCCCGCTCTCTGTGCCATAGGTGCCTTTATTTCCGAATTGACCTTGTCAAGAGTTGAGTCAAATTGCACGCTGTGGAATTAATTTGCAACCATAATGATTATAATCATAGTAAATAGTCTGAACAAAACTGACAGTATCTCAGTATCTATCGGAAAAAAGAGTTAATTATTTTAAAATCAAAAACTTATACAAAAAGTGCTAATGACTCACTTTTTAAAGTTACTATGCCTTGTATTTCTTAACGAATTAATTTGATGTGAATATAAATTTACCTGGTATGCGTATTCGTGTATGGAAATAAATAATGCTAGAGTTCATTGGTTTTTACTATTTTTGTTTTTGCACTTAATATAATATTAATATGATTTTATGTCATCATTCCAAAGAAAACAGGAATTATTAGTGCTTCATATAGATATAGGTAATCTATACACACATAAACTAATACTCACAAGCAATAATAGATGCGGGTTTGTGTAATTAATTTACTGGGTGGGTAATTAATATTATGCACCCCGAATTTTTGAAAAAAAAGAAAGAAAAAAAACATAATTCGAAAAGACCGAAGACTGAATTTGGAGCTTACCAAATTCGCAAATAACTTCTATTCTTGCGTAAAAACATTTCTATTAATTTGCAGTTTTTTCACCCATAAATGTATGTCTTACCGATGCAATACAATTTTTTTAAGTTCCTGCATCTCTTGACCTGTGCTACTAAACTAACACACAGTATCATAAAATTAAACATGTCACTACAGCGACAGCGACACTCTATTGGTATAGTGTTACTCTACGTTCACAGCTAAGAAAAACAAAAATGTATTCGATGTTTTTAAGCGATGCATCGAAATACATCGATGCAAGGTTTCGATGCTTTACATCGAATGAAGACATTGCTGTATTTTTTAAGTGGACACCCCTAGTGTACATTGGAGGTATCGCTTTGAGAGATAAGTTTACAGAAATTAACATTCGTACGTGTAAAATGGTATCAGTCATAACATTAATACGAGGAATAAAAATAAACTGGCCATTATTGACAGTTGTCTTCATAAAGTGTCAAATTCATTTACGCTTCTATAATAAGTATTTATGTACTTTATAACAGTTTCATGTTATTAATATATGTACTACGTAATTTTGTTTTTTGTGCGCGTAAGCCCGTCATAAATTTTAGTTATTTTGTCCTATATTTAGGTCTGCAGGAAGAAATTTCTTATAGAAATAGGCAGTACCTTTTATATGTGATTTCCTTTTAATGTAATCTGGGTTTTTCCTGTGCAATAAATAAATTAAAAGAACAAAAAGATTTCGGTGGATATTCAACTTTGCCATTCACTCACAAAATTTTTATGGCGTTGTACGCTTAGCTCTGGCTACGCTATAGAAATAATAAGATTGCTTCTTAATATATTTTTTTTTCACACCACGTCGCAGGACAAGCAAGTTGTACGCCTGGTGGTAAACGACTCGCCTGTCCATGACACTTGCATTGCCACATAGGGCTTCAAATCACAAAGATCTAAGGGGTACTGCCACTGCGCCCGTCACCTTGAGACATAAGTTGGCAAGTCCCATGTGCCTGTAATTTCAATCGAAACGCTCATATTACCGCTTGGCGGCAGAAATGGGTAAGGCGGCAGTACTTCCCTGGACAAACTCTTTCATAAGAAAGCCGCCAAGCTCCTTATGGAGCTATACTGTTAATAAATAAAGCCTCGTGAGACGTGCTTATAACGCTACATAAACAATGAAAATTTCGAGCGATTCAGGCGAGAACTAATGCAAATGAGAACGAGAAGCTTCTGACGTAACTTGCCCACGTAGCATGACTATGCATGATAGTCGCGACACGCGATAAAATTAAAATAAACGCGAGTTATTGGCTATCTAAATTAGATCTGATTGAGACAGCCCATAGCGCGCGCTTATTTCAATTTTATCGCGCGCGTCGCGACTATCATGCGTAGGCATGTTACGGGGGCTGATATAGATTTCACGTTGTACAAAGCATTACAAACACAAAACAATGCAAGACTACAATGGAATCTTGCACCAATTAAAACGATTCGTTAACCATTGTTTGCATTTGCAGCTGTCAGAACGGATTTCAATTTATGATTATTGCCATCAGATAGGTATACCGTGACTACTACCCATTTACCATTAGTAGATTCATCTTAATATGGCATAACTTGCACTGATTGTGTAATATTGACTATAGTTGACCACGCTTCATGAGAAAACAAAGAGAAATTAGCTGTGTACTTTTTTAATCTTTTCCGTCTGCAAACAATTAAGGCTTTTTAACCGACTTTAAAAAAGGTGGTGGTTCTCAATTCGACCGTAGGTTTTTATTTTTTTATGATAGCAAGTGACGGAACGAACAAGACGTGCGCCTGATGGTAAGCGACTGTGACAATTTTATGTGTGTGTAATTTACTCGATGACTCTGATATTTGTGAACCGATCTCGATAATTCTTTTTTGTTGGAAAGGGGGTACCTCAGTAGTAGTACCCATTATTCCTCTTAAATTGGGGAATGATTCCACTTTATTGGATTTCACTCACTGTCAATTAACAGATTTAAATAAAACTTGGCATTCATTAGGTGTAATTCCACAAACTTTTGAGGTCCGTTTTTATTCATAAAAAGGTATATTTGTTCGTATTATTGGACTTAGTTTAAGTGACATGTGTTGACATATGTCATCGTGGTTCCTAATTTAAAATCCGCAGAAAAGATCGCAGCAAAAAACAACAGCATACTTAGTGTATATTCACACTGTTTTCAACAATATTAAATAAATATTGTATACAAATGTTTAACACCGTAAAATTGTATTTAAAAAATGGTAGTCCAAAACTGAGGTTATTTGTCATCTATATATCTATGATTTGTCTATGGTTGCATAGTGTTGTACGAAAAAAAACATTCGGTTCATCCAATTAAAGTTTTTGTAATCGATTAGTAAATCGAATATTTCAATCGCAATCGAACGAGGTTTAAGGTTTTACTTAGGCATAAGTTTAAGGATTTGAAGGAGGACTTAAAATTAAGATTTCGATAGGTTATGTAGGGAAAACCGCTGGTATGACTCAATTGAACAAATCGATTCATTCAATTAATTAATCGATTTGTTGTTGGCATTACAATTGGCCATCACTAGTCGGTTCAGTAACGTGTTTGTTTACATTTTGTTGAAAATGGATTAAAACGAAGTATACGTACAAAATTCGGTAAGTTTTAAGCGCGCGTTAACGAAACGCCCGTTGAACGATCGTCATGTGAACATGGTCTTAGTCATAATACCTTTAACGATGTAAGGAATTACCCTTTTTATATGTATGTATGTATATGTGCATACTTATGATACATATTCTTCGAGACACCCAAGGTCCTTGCAAAAGAAATCCGTTATCTATCCAGGTTGTGAGAAGCCACTTAAATTAAAAAAAACGTCCTGCAACAAGGAATATGGTTCCGCCGTACCATCAGTTTGGGATCCAGTATTTCTGTATCGGTGTGTACTCATTACGTTTTAATTTATTCTAATTTCATTATTGTTTAATAATAAATTTAATTTAATAAAATTCTACTGTAAAATGAAAATAAAATAATTTCTAAAAAGTATGTAGCGTAAATGGAAATTTTCCTTGATAAATCAAAACTAACGTATTAATAATTGTAAATACTGAGAAATAGGGTGGGTTAATGCAAATATTAGACATAACTGGTTGATGCCTTTACCATCTCAGTCAACTGTACAATGCCCGAAACGTTGGTTTGTTTCAAAAAAACAAATATATACATACACAATGCAGATCAGAAAAAACAGTTAGGTAGATATATCGACTTCATAGATTTTTTTTCTTTGTCACGATTTTCTCTTTCTCACCGATAGGAAATTCCCGATTATCAGTTTCGATTTACCAAGTGT